AGCTGACCCTTTGTGTTCAGAGTTGAATGGAAAATCCGAGAGTTCATTGTCGGTAAGAAAGATAAGTATTGTTTGTGAAATGTTCATTTCAGTTACAAATATGTGGTGTAAAATGGATTTCTCACTATAGGGAGCTGACAAAAAATTGAAAATCACTCTTGTAATCTGTGTTAAGGAAATTAGATTTCATCTTAGTGAAACCATTGACAGATCTTCTGCAGAGGTGTGATTTAACGGATGCTGTATTTTAGCAAAATCCCTCTTGCTGCAGTGTGAACATGTGACAGAGAGGCAAGGAAAATGAGAAGAGAAAAATTAGAAAATTATTTCAGTTACCCAGATTAGGGATGCTGATGTCTGGACCACAATGTTTACAATGAGAAAAAAGAAAGTTGACCAGATACTTTGAGGACAGTTCCTGGATATTGATTTGGAGGCAAAAATTACCTGTGTCTTAGTCTCTGATATACCCATTTTTCTGCTATATGTCAAAAGAGAGGAAGGAAGAGAGAGAGAGAGAGAGAGAGAGAGAGAGAGAGAGAGAGAGAGAGAGAGAGAGAGAGAGGTATAATAGCATGTACAAAGCATCTCAGTGCTTAGCATTTTGGGTAACTCAGCTCTGACAGACCAAATCCTTAGGGCTATATTCAAAACTGAGGAAGCATTGGCCACTGAGGTGTACTGGATATGGAGACTTGAATAACAGGAACTATTAAATGAGGTGTGTTTTTGTCTCTTTATATAGGGGCCCTTTAGGAAGCTGCTCTATTAATTAACAGAGGCTTGTAAATTTCTTTTTCCTTCCCACTTAACTTTGTCTGAACTCACTTCCTAGTTTAGATACATATCAGGATGCTAGCTAACTTGTGGAAACCAGACAAAGGATCTCGGGGACTCATCAGTACCCTTTTAATTCCACATAAACTATGAAGCATGCGTGGAAACCAACTTAAGTTCTTGGTGACCCAGTGCTCAAAACTGAGTTGCCCTTCTTTTCAGCTAATTCTTCTATGATGCTTTTCCTAGTAATGCCCAGTGTTTTCAATTTCTTTTTCAAACATGCCTTCCATCCCCATCACCACTAGCACCCTGCTTTTTAGCCTTTAACTTCTCTCATCTTCTGGCAACTTTCTGCATCTAAAAAACTAATCCATCCCTGTTGTGAACATATATTGGGATTGACTCCAGCTGTGCTGACCTGTAACACACATGAATACATCCTTGACAGATTGCTTGAAATCCAGAGGGACAGAAGAATATAGGGTTACCAGACCTTCATTTCAAGGGCTGTTGACTAGCTAGAGTGCACAGACTCTAAGAGGAGCCACAGTTCTGCCATGCATGACTAATGCAACTTGAAAGGGAGCCACTGAGTAGAGGAGTAGGGAGATGCCTAGGAGGCTGATCAAAAAGCACCCTGACCTGAAATTCCCACTGCGACAATCACTTCTCAGAGACACAACATTGGGATCCCAAAGATGTTCAAATGTTTATATTTTTAAGATGAATAAATAAATGTGTTAAGATATTAGCACCCATTATTAAAACTGGATCCAGGGAGAACTTATCAGGATGCTTGTTGATTACTTATAAGTAATTGAAGAGAGTAATATTTTCTTAGTAAACAGGCATGACTTTGAATCTTAACACTTCTATTTAGTAATCATGTCTCCTTGAATAATCTCCCATATGCACTCTGAGCCTCAATTTGTTTGTATATAGAATAGAGATGTCATCATCTCCCATACAAGGTTGCCTTGAGGACAGGATGCTCTACTGAGAACAGGGAAATGGCTCAATAGATAAAGGTGTTTACCACCAAGCCTGAGGACCAGAATTCAATCCCCAAGACACACATAGTGGCAGGAAAAATACTGACTCCCACAATTTTTCCCATGGCATTTACATGTCAGCAGCAGTATGTGCTCCTAAATGTGCACACGTGTATACATATCCTCTCACACAAAATAAACAAAAAGCTGCTGGGGAGATACTGCTTATGAAGTGTTTGACACATAGTGGTTCTCTACTAGTCCCTGGTACTCTGTCACATCCAGACACAACTGAACTTTAGAAAGTAAAGGAGGAGACAGTGGAAATACTTCTAAGACAGGGAAAGCCCTAGTTTGGGACAAAGATCAATACTAGAGGACCCGGAAAACTACAGTGAAGTCAAGGCTTTGGGCATTTGGAGGAAGTTAAGATTCTAAAACGCAAGATACAACCAGTCCACCAAGGGATTTGGGTAACTGGAAGATTCTTGTCTGACCGTTTCCCAGCCATCTTCCTTTTCCACATAAAAAAAATGACCCCAGTCACTATGGAAATCAGTATTGAGTTTACTCAGAAAAAAAAAAGTACAGTCAAAACACTTCTGGATAAGTATGCCTACGTGTGTGTGTGTGTGTGTGTGTGTGTGTCTGTGTCTGTGTCTGTGTCTGTGTCTGTGGGGGGGTGGGGGGTGTATATGCACACACACACATGCCCATGTATCGGTGCAATAGCTCATATGTGTATGTTCTGAGTAATCCAAGTCAACATACAAAAGAAATATCTGGTATTTCTAAATATCTAAATCCAACATGGTGGATTTAGAATGACCATGGAATCAAATCTCTAAGTTAATTAACATAGGAAGACTTGGCCTAAATATGTATTTACATGCCATGGGCTGAACAAAAACGAAAAGATGAACTGAAAACAAATGTTGTTCATTCTCTACTCCCTGACTTCAGTTGCAATTTGACCGGGCGCCATCTGGACCTGCCGCCATGATCTCCCTGCCATAATGAATTGTACTCCTTGAACTATAAGCCAAAGCACACCTTTTTTCTTAATTTGCTTCTTGTTAGGTATTATGTCACAATGAGTAAAGTAGTCAATACATATGCGTTCCCATATGTATCGTGACACTATTAAACAATGAAAAGATTATGGCTCACCAAGAAATGAATCGATGAACAAAATATGGTATATATGTATGATAGTTTTACTCATCCATAAAGAAGAAAACAACATGTGATATTTTAAGGAAATAGGTGGCCCTATATAGAGTATATTAAATAAAACAAACCACTCCCATAAACAAGGAGTGCTTGGTTTCTCTCATATGTAGAAGTTGTGGATAAGGAAACAAAAGATGTGAAACTAAAGAGAGATCCAGGTTACGGAAGAGCAAGGGGAAAGTTGAAAGTTGGGAGGAGTAATAATAATATATGAGGTGAATATGTTCAAAGTACTTTATATGCATATACAGAAATGTTATAATGAACTATGTTGTATTATATAATTAATATACACTGATAAAAATACAAGGGAAAAGTAGGGAATTAAAGTGTCAGGCAGGTTTAAGAGCCACTTACCAAAATACGGAAGAATTATAACTATAATGGCAGCACCCATCTGTTTTGATGCTAAAGAATTTTTTGAACCCCTATCACCTTCCAAGTGGTGGAAGTTGCATCCAGGACATCTTTAATCATGTCTATAACCTCAAATTAAAATAATGAAAGTGGTTAGGCACATTTTTGTCGCCAGTACCGAGTCCATAATCTAGAAGAGAATACCCTTATGGACACCACACACAGAATTACAACATGGCACATAAAGTACCTCACGGGTACTTTGTTACCACTATGAAGCAGATAATTTCGTTTGTTTCCGTTTCTAAACTTGAACGTATTTGAGTTCATGTTTATATAATATTTTCAGTTTCCCATACTTAGACAGTGGTCATTGTATGTCCTAGGGTATGTCTTTGTTATATATGTGAAGATTCTTCATCATACGAGAATTTATTTTCCCTTCTTTGTTCCTAAGAAGGAATTGACTTTTTTGTTCTATCCTCCCTTCACCACTCAAAAAAAAAAAAAATAGTAGATGGAAAACAGTCCAAGAACTATTTCCTTTGTGTTTTTGGTGCAGGCTAACCCAGAAGCATTCTCTTGACCTCCTGTGTCTTAATTGTTTCCAGGCCAGTGACATATCAGTCTCTTTCCAATATGCCTTTCCATCTGTGAGACCATGTGAACATCTGTACATATACCAGTGTATGTTATCCCACTGCCCCAGCATGTCTGTTTGCATTCTGATGAAATAGCTAGTAAAATGCAGTACAGAATCTCTATTGCTTTGACTCTAGGGCTAATTCTAGCGAATAAGATACAATCTCAATTTAATACAGGTGAGCAGAGATAACAGAAAGATGGAGATCCAGGAAGACAGTGGATTTCCTTGAGATCACTTTTAATTGTCTGGAAAGAATAGGTCATGCTGAAGCAATTTAGCCTTTAACCACTAAAGGCACTATTTGTAATGGTCTGATGTGCCCCCCTTTCCTCCAGTCACCCCCTCCAGTTGCAGCCAGAAGAAATACTTGCAGCCCGACTGCTAAGTCCTACAGAATAATTGTTTGGATAAAGAGAGCTTGTCGGAACTTTCTCTGCAGCCTTGTTATGTACAAAGTCTAAGCCTCTCTTGCTGCTTCATTTTCAAACCTGAAGGCATCAAGGGGCAGCTAGGTCATCTTTGTTTTACACTCTCTTTTTCCCAACTGACAGCCTCAACTAAAGCTTGCCCTTTTAACAAATTAATTCTGCAGAGAAGCCCCACTGTGCAGTTGTCCCTGAAATGATTTATTTTAAAGAATAATTTTAGTGTGCTTGTTTAAAATGGCTCATGGGAAAATCTTCAACATCCCGAATGTTTTTCAAAATGGGTTTCCCTCCTTCTGTAACAGGATTGATAGGGCTGGCAATAGGAGAGGTTACAATGTAAATGACTGGGGCCTGAACCCAGGAAGAAGCCCCTCAGTTAGCAAGCTGGAAGTTGTTTGAAATGGGAAAGGCAAAGGGAAGTCTTTGCCTGAACATCTGTGACGCCCACCACGAACTGGTTACTTCCAAGTTCTGAGATGCTTCCACCCATAATCAAGGGGAACAAAACACTCTCCAAGACACAGTGCACCAAAAACTCAATTCTTTTTCCATAATAGCCTTTAATACTAAAATGCATTAAATTTTTGAAGCAGAGAAAACACATTTAAGAGGGAAACAGAGAACCACCAGATAAAAGGAAACAATGTGTGGCAGGTAACACCATTTAAAACAGAACTGCAATAATTTAATAAAGCTGCTTTATCATCTTCATAAAATAGACAGAGTGGTGGTGATTCTTTTTTGTCTTTTTTGTTTTTACAATGATTCAATCACTGTGAAAATGTACATAACATACAGATCAGCATATACAACCATTTCATCTTCATATAATCAGCAACAGAGACTGCTTAATGAAACGTACTGTACTTGTATCCTTCTAAATTGCCACCCTGGTTTGACAGGTAAACAGTAATAGTGTCATCAGGCTCATTCCCCTCACTAGAGGAGCGAAGGCTTAGCCTTTTGCAACTAATACCTTAGCATTCAAATAGCACAAGGAGGTATTTGTTGCTGAATTTCTAGCTAGACCTAGTCTGGCCCTTGGTCATTAGTCTGGATCTTAGCCTTCCTCAGCTGAATGCCAGCCAGTGCCAGTAAACATCTACTTAACCGGTGCTGTAAAGTGTTAGCTGGTTTGTTTGCTAAGGTTGACAGCAACATTCAGTTAGTAACAAGGTCATCTTTAATTGCCAACACAGCTGGAGCAACAGTCAGCATCATCAGATTTCCCTAATGACCTACAATGCTTTCCAATCAAGGTCAGGTGTTTCTAGGTTGTTCTTTACCAAGCGCGCCTTACAACGTATACTTCAGACAAGGTGGTTGATTTTCTTTGTTTTACAAAAGCAATGCGATTCCTATTTGAAATTAATTCACTTTTGCACGACAAGTGACCCACAGGCCAATTTCAGTTTCACAAGAAAAAAAAGAGAGCTGCAACAACTTCATTAGGACAATGTGTTTTGCTCTGGAATATTTCATTATCAATATAAAGCCACCCAGTCCCAGTCCCACCCCCATACATCCCCTTTGAATATTACTTTGATACATACTTAAACTAAAGAACAACATCTCAATACACTTTAGTGTCAGCAGATACAATTTGACTCATGAAATGACATCCTTAAAATGTAATTTTACCAAGAAGGCAAACACTAGGACTGTATACAATGGACTTCTTCAGCTCATTTATGCCAGTTTTTCAAAGTCAGAAGGGTCTTATTACCCTGTGAAAAGAGCCAAGCGGACCAGACTTGTCGAGAGTGCCTTGGGGGAACATCTGGCATCAAAATGATCCCCATAAAATGGATTATGTACAGTAATAATCCTTTCTCCGCCTTGGGTGCCCAAAAAAAGCTATCCCTTCCATCCCTGCCTCTCCCAAACTGCCCCGCGTCTTTTACACCAAATAGACCACTTGTGTTTGCTTTTTAGTGGTAGGTGTAGAGAAAAAAGTCCTCTGAATTCCCCTCTAATAGCCATATGCTGAGACGACAGGATCTGGAAGGTACTCTGTGTGGTTTTGGTTTCAGAGTTCAGAGTTACATCTTTCATTAATGAACAGCTGGTCACCATGTCAACAAATTTCTATCAATGTGGCCAGCTTAGGTGTAGTTAGTCCTATGAGACAAGTTTCCTCTGGATCATTGTCTCATCAGTATCTCCTAGGCATCTGTAGATAGAAAAAGAAATCCTACCCCAAAACAACTGCATAAGAAACGCTAAGGATTAGACTCTACCAAACTGTGCTTTAACAAGCCCTCAAACTTGAGTGGGCAACTAACTCATGAATTTCTGTGACAATTCCTCCAGATTTCTTATACAGCCATTCTAGGCAGGGATCAGGACCTATCATTTCTAAGAAGTGCCTAAGTGATGTTGCTTTGAGATGATATTTTGAGAACCACTGTTGTGCAGGAACTATGTGATTCCTTAACCAAGACAGACCCTCACTTTTTCTACTGGCTTCAGAGGAACAATGAAATACTAAGTTTCATTCTGAACAGGTTAATTTACAAGACTGCACAGGGGGGAACAAGTTTCCACAGGGCATTGTGGATCACTTCTCCCCATTTTTTATTGAATAGCATGTTCCCATGTTTGGGAGAAAGCAGTCAATCAATGCAAATTAGATGCACTATACTGAATAAAGACATTTGCCTGGCCAGGAAATTTTTAAGCATGTTACACTTCATGACCCAGGGACATCAGAATAAGTGGAATAGAACTCCCTAGGACTTGGGAACTAAAATTGTTCCCATATGTTTCTGTGTAACATGTTTGCAGAAAGAAAGGGAAAAAAATATTTGCTCCACTGGCCTTGGTAGCTTTACATCACGTGTTAAAAAGGGAGGGGGAGAATCCCGAGTCCGTGGGGAATTTAAGACCCTTGCACAAAAGTCCTATTTGCAAGCACAGTTGGCCTGTAGAACCTGCCTACAAAGCTCTCCTAGGATGCGCTTGCACTTCCATCAGACAATTGAAGGGGGAAAGATACTTCCTTAATGAGAATTCTTATGCATACTCAGTAAAGAGTTCTGAAACAAAAAGAAAAAAAAAATCTCTGACTGCCCGCTGAGAACAATGATTTCAATGATTTTAGATAGACTAAGCTTGGAACTAAAATGAAGTTCCGGGGACAAAATTTTTAGTTGCTTTTTTTAAAAGGCAAAAAAAAAAAATCACTGCTAATGCCACCCGTTTTTTAATTGGCTGGTAAGACACATGGCAGGCAGTGGCCTCTCTGCATTCCACCATTCCATCTCCACTTTCCACAATCTTTCAAACTACCTCATTTCCACTGAGCAGAGTAAGAAATCCACCTGGAGAAAGCTGTCCAATCTGACTACAAAGTGACCTTGAGGTGCTAGCAAACAAGATACTATCCGATGGATCCTGGTGAAGATCAGTCTCAATTCTATAGGCAGCCATCCCAACTTAAAGGGCACTTTTAAAAAGCTAAATATGTTAATCAAATAGTCACTTGGAAGGAAAAATAAATACCTAATTTATAATCTACTACCACCAAAATGAAATAAACCAGAAGAGGAGAACATATATGAGAGAAAGTTAAATGAAGCAAGAGGAAGATGTAAAGGTCTCTAACTGTGTCAGGGAGAAATTTGCAGCCAACCCAATATTTTGCATGAGGTAGTATTCAGGAAATAAGGATGGATTTGTAGCTTCATTATATGTTTCTTTTATCCCCAGAAATATTCTCCCCTATCTAACCCCATGCCCAGTGCCTTACCCACCCCTTCCCTTACAACCCTCCCACCTCCCACAAAAGAAAAAATTCCAAGTAATATATAAAGCTAGGAACTCAGATAAAAATAATGAAAACATTTCAAAGAGCTGACTGTATCTACCTAAACTTAAGAAAATAAATTCTGTTATGAATTCTAGTGTTCTAACTTCTAGGCTTTCTTTCTGAGTGTTCTTGAATTACAAAAAAAATGAGAGATAAGGAGGAAAGAGGGAGGGAGGGAAGAAGAAAGGGAGGGAGGGAGGGAGGGAGGGAGGGAGGGAGGGAGAAAAAGAGAGGAAGGAACCAAAAAACTTGGTTCTTTAGAAGAAATTCCTTTAAGACAAAGGTAGAGCAAAGGGGACATTTTTTTTAGTTTATTTTAAATAATGAACTCAGGCTGCAAGAATACTATGTTGGCTAGTGAATATTAATAGACAGATAATAAAAAGGGGCATTTGTGCAGTGTTAAAAAGAACAAAAAGAATGAGTGCTCTGTTAGTTTAAAAAGGCATATTCCTAGCCTACAGCAAAAAAGAGTTACTAAATCTAAGGGATTTTTGTTTTAATAATTTCTTGTTCACATTTTTAATCAAAAAAGTGTTAGTCATAAAAAGACGTGTTCAAGTGTCTGAGTGTCTCCGTTTAGAAGGCACAGTAATTAGATCAGTGATGTTAGTACCTGGCTTTTCCTAAGTGTACACTTCATACTGCTTACTCTATCATTATTTATAAGCCTAAGGTAAAGAGCAGCATGGAGCCCTTGATTCCAGCCCATGATGTGCTTTACCATCTAATTCCAATCATGATTGGGAAAACACTGAATCAGGAAGTGTGTGTCTAAAGAGATGGTAATTTAGATCTCAAAATAGACTCAGTCATGTTGCGTGATTTTTAGATGATTGGAGACAGGGAATTTCTCAGCCTGAAAACTGATAACATCAGGAGTAACTTTCCTGTTCAGGGTCTGAAAATTAGAAAAAAAAAATAATGCATCTCATAAAATTTTCAGCACAGTATTTCTGACAACTGCAAATTAGATAGCAGCATATCCAAAAATGATTTTCTACAATGATCTCGCACAGACCCGGGCAGAAGACTGAAAGACAGGAGAAATCCTCTGCAAGGTAGTGAGCAAGCACTACATGGATTAAAAAAAACGTGAGGATCCAAGTCCTCAACCTCCAGGTGTTGCTCATTTACCTGCTGTCTCAGTTTCTGCATTTTGTTTTTGTCTGTATTTTTATTATTTTTTTAAGAAAAGAAAACATCAACTTTTAAAGGCCTTTTGCCATCACCACACACAGCAATTTGCAATATCAAATACAACAACAGCACAGCTAGCAAAAGGGTTCTTAAAGCAGGGGAGTCCACAGCAAAGAAGCGGCATTGGAAAGTACTCGAGCTTCAGAAACAACCTTTTGGGGGCTCGATTTCACGTCACTGAATCAATGAATAGTACACAATAAATGACCAATAACTTGTCTACACTACAAAAAACAGTGGCGAGCTTATTAAAGGTGTCCAGGGCTTTTTTTTTTTTTTTTTGCTTTTTGCTTTTTTAAATGTAATTCTTCACAAACAATGGTAATTTATATTATCATTTTTACATAGAAAAATATATAAATTCAAACACTTAATACATAATACTTTTCACAACTGAATTTGCCTCTGTTTCACCACCATCAAGGCCCCATGAACAACTCAAGCCAAAGCTAATTTGCTCCAACTGAACACCCCTGCTGCCTGCTGAAACGAGAGGGATTGTCACGGAATGATAGTCACCTATACACAATACATTTTGGGAAATCTCTACAATGCAGCCACTCAAGAACCAACCATGGGTGAGGAAAATGAGTAAATGCTGCATCTTCACTAGCCAGTGTGATTTCTTTTCTTTCTTCTTCCCCAGATGGGTTTACAGAATGATATCCTTCAGACGCTTCACGACAGGAGACTGCTTGTCACGCCCTTCCTTCAGAATAGGATTCACCTCATGCATGACTTTCTCACTGTCGGCTCCACGGGGTTCAGCTTCAGAAGGACGAGAGGCGCCATTGTTGGCATGGTGCTCCAGATCACGAGCTGGAGGAACCAGGGCGACCGTGTAAGACATAGTAGGCTTGGTAGGCAGAGGGCTCTTGAGATGCAGTGGGGAGGTGACAGGGCTAATAGCCTCGCAGCCATTGCCTGCCTCCCGGATAGCGCTGTTGACTTTGGGGCTGCAGATGGTCACATCAACAGTCCTCTTGACTTTCAGGATGGGCCGCTCCTCAGCCCGGTGGGTGTTGACATCTTTTCCAAAGGTTGCGAATGTCCGCTTGGTGGGGCCGCAGTCGTCATAAGGCTCAATATCAGCAGCAGTAGCCTCAATGGACAGAGTGATGACATTCCTCACGTGCTCAGGAGACTTGGAGCGGATGGGCATGGGATTCCGAGGCATCCAGCATCTATCAGAGTGGCCAAGAATCCGACATTCCTCCCTGCAATGAAATCCTTCATTCTGATCTGTAAAAAGAAAAGGAAGATATCAATTTCATCAGCTTTTTTTCCCAGTAATCACTGCAACCCCACAGTGTTCTGGTCTCTCTGATACCCACAGGCCCTTTTGGGAAATAGCACTTTGGATAGTCTTTTATTGCCTTTTGGGACTAGTGTGGAGAAAATGGATTTTTAAAAAGCTATAGATCTCCCTCTAAACATTACTTGTTTTTTATGATCCTCGCTGTTCTCACTGCTGACAAAACAAAAATCCTAAAAAGAAACAAGTTATGATGAAAACGTATTTTTAAAAGTTTATCCTGAGTGCTAGCATGTGGAGAGTCAGCAATTTTATCAACACCTACTGCTAAAAACCACCTATGTTTGAAGCTACATTCCACAGAAGAGGACGTGGTAACAAGGGAGGACATCAAATGTTCACTTTATCAAAGAAACTTGCCCACAATTTTTATGAACACTATTAGCATCTTTCCATCTTACCCATCATAGATTACTGTGGATTCTACTTGAAAACCTAATACATCATTTCTTTTTGACCACCATTTCCCCCAAGAAAGCACTTCATTATGACATCACGATTACCAGATTTCTTATCAGAAGGAATACACTGTGACCTCTTTTTTCCAGAGAACTTCAATTAGCCCTACACACACACACACACACACACTCATCCCTCTTATATGTTGGGGGTCATTTAATTAGCCACAAACTAGCTCTTTCTCCTTATTTGTTTGAATTTTCACTTTTACTAAGGACTTACTTTGTAATGAAATATCCATAGCTAGTAGGAATGCAAATTGCAAGAGCTATGAGGAAGAACAAAATAAAAGGTTCCTCAAAAATTATAAAGCAGAAAAACTATTTAATCTAACTCTTTCTCATTTCTGGACATATATTATTGCCATGAAGATGCACCATGGCCATGGCAACTCTTATAAGAATGGTCATGGTGCATCTTCATGGCAATAAAACCCTAACTAAGACAACCACAAAATATGTATAGTCTATCCCATGTTACTAAAACATAAAGATTTTGCTGATTGGTTTAGACATACTATAGAAGATCTCAATAGTTAGAATCCACAATTATTACAATAACATATTTTTATCTTTCCAGCTCTGCTTCATTCATGACTAAGTCTTTTATTTGGCTCTCAGAAGCCTACAAAGATTACATTACTAAAGCATGGATAAAGGGTTAACAAGAGCCCGATCATTGAATAAATATGAATTAAAATAGTTTGTTTATAGCCCTAATTTTCCAGTTTAATTGATGTTTATGACATTCTTATATAAAGATGACCTAATAAAAATTTTCATCATATTTTACAATGCCTCACAATATGATCAGCTTAATATTTACAAAAATAAGACTCTGAGGTAGGACTGGAGGAGGTAGAAAGGCTAGACGAAAAACAAAGGCAAAGTAATTAATATTCAAATTCATATAAATTAAGTATAAGTGTGTCTAGTAGAAACAGAAAGTCCTTGGGTTGTTGTAAATCTATAGACACCTCATCAGATCTGAATTCATCTTATATAAGAGGCAAAATTAACTCTCCTTTATTTAGGCTATTTATTTTCTTTAGTGGAGTCTTTATTTCTAATAGATAAACATACCTCATGGTGGATAATTCATGAAGTCTCAATTAGAATTTCACTTTCTCAACAGTCTAAGGAATCACTCAATAATCCCTTAGACTAAGGGCTCATAGAACCTCCCTTTCATAGCACTCATCCCACTTGAAATTGCTTATTTAGGTCATGTATGTTTTGCTTGCTTTTTGAAGCTCTAAATGAGCAAAAACTATGCCAGTTTTGTTTTCTGCTACCCAATAAAGCAAGCAAAGAAGCCACTACAGAGTAATAGTGAATAACAGTTTAACTTAATGGAATAATAAAAAGTACAGAAAGAACAAAAAGAAATCTAGATTGATCCTCGCGATACTATGCCACTCATGTAACTCCTAAAATTGGAATTAAATGTTCTAACTAATACAAACAGTTTAGAAACCTAAAAAGCAATCTGTGTCATTTTGTCAAAGGCAATAAAAGTAGAACTTGAGAAACATTAGTCAAGTGACAAGTGGTTTTGGATGGTTCTAAAGAAATCTTGTATGCATTTGACATCCATTTGAAAATATAATTATTTCAACCTGGAAGTTTTCTATACTAGCAATAGTTAGCATGGAATCTATTGTGATAAATTAAGAACTTTTAACTTAGTTTAAAGGTGTAGTCTATGAATTTAATGTGTTGTTCAAATATCAAACACTGTTTCTTAACATCTAAAATTGTCATTGATTCCCATAAAATATAAGACTAATATGACCAGAGATAAATCTTCCAAATCTACAGGAGAAGTTGGTATACTCTGGCAAACTTATTACTTAAAAAATATTACAAGACTTTATAACAAAGTTCATGTATCAATTTATTGTGCAGAGAAATTACCAAAAGGAAGAATTATTCAAGAAAGAATTCTTTTTTATTGATTTTTATTGAGCTCTACATTTTTCTCTGCTCCTTTCACTGCCTCTTCTTTCCTCTTCAACCGTCTCCCAAGGTCCCTATGTTCCCACTTTACTCAAGAGATCTTGTCTTGTTCTGCTTCCCATGTAGATTTCTTAAAGGCACTTTCAAAGCCTTCAGAGTCTGAAGAAAGAACATCTATTCTGTTTCTATAATGTGATAAAGCATGCAGAGTACTATTGAGCTCAATGAAAAAAGCATGAACAGGAACATTGAAAAACAGCTAAGAGCAGGAAACACTGTGGAATTCAGACATTATATGTTTGCTTGAATCTGATTAATAGTTTGAGAACTGACTTTGTTTAGGTGTTCAGAAACAGGAGAAAAGGACCTTCCAATATCTGAAAAAAATCAATAAAGACTTAAGGGCAACATCTCAAAGCCATAGGGGAGTGGAAATACACTCATTTCATAATGAAAAATTTAACCATTGAAGATAATATTCCATCTGTAAACGTGTAAAGGGATGTCCGTGAAGGCTGATACAGTTTTACAGACTTAGAAGCCAATAGTATGAAGCCATCCTGTAGTCATTCTAACTCTGATGAAACTTGCATTACAAATTTTTCAACAAATAGCTACTTGTATCTCACTCCCGTATGCCTTTCTTCCTTCCCTAAATCATTCATTTTATTCTCCACTTCCCTAGCCTCCTACTTCTTAGCAGTCCTTAGCCCCATAGCACTATGCTCTGATACACAGCAGACAGAAGCAATAGGGTGGCATAATTGTGATTGACATTTGAAATACTGATGTGCAATTATTTGACAGATGTCAGAAAGTGCGCTCTGCAAACCAGTCTTTATCCCATGCAGAAAAACCCTATACTTTTCATTTATTTAGATATACACATTAAGAAATACCAGTGGTAATAAGAGGGTCCTTTGTCAAATTCAGACAATCTTTTTCCTTTGGTAACTTAGACGAACACACACCAAGCCCAAATTTTATGGAGTGAGGAAGAATAAACACAGCTTCTGGTGGAGAAGGGTCCAGGTGGGAATGGGATATTGAAACAAAGTTATTGAAAATGGCAAAATCATGCTGCCAAAAACAGAGACCAGAATAGAAAAAAGCCAGGCCTAATAGCCTAGCATGGCCTTTTCAGAATGGTGGAGAACACTGGGAATTCTATAAAGGTTAGTTTTTGTCTGACACAGGGAAGGCAGATGAAAAGACTGGTGAATTCCAACTTCATCCCAGACAATTTAACAAATCAGCATTCATTATCAAGGGCCACCCAATAGCCAGCCTCTGATGCCAAGTGGTACATAACCCTTTCTCTTCACCTGCAATTCACTTACTACCAACGGAACATGGAAAGAAATTTAAAATATGGCCCTTTCAGAACTCAAAGAAATTGAATTATCTCCACTGGAATGTTTAGTGCTGAGCTGGGTTGAAGAGACAAGTTAAAACATATTGAAGTATACGTGCTTGGGAATTTAATATTTATGACAGATGACAGTGTGGCATGTGCAGTTCATATGATCGAAGTTGCAATTTTGGCAATTACAATAGTTCCCGGCATTTTCATTTTTGTACTGGTGCTCCATTCAATTCACTCCATAAAGAACAGATATCAATATGTGTATAAGTATAAATCATTCGTGCTGATTCATGGGGGTGGGGGCAAAGAACTGAAGCAAAGGGCTACAAAGAAATTTGACACAGAAAAAGAAGTTGTGACAGTAACTGAGACTAGCGGAGACTGAGTGGACTAAGTTTGTATGTGTCTTCTGTGATGAAAAAGAAATTATGTGACAAAGTGCTGGGCATGATCTAAGTGCTTATAACTCACTTAAAAAGGCATCTTTACAGGCAAAATATGAGATGACACAGGTCGATGAACTATTCCTTACAACATGGAGCACCGAGGTACAGCAATGAATGACATGAGACTGTTTTCATGGGTCTCGCTGTAAGATTCCCACAGAACCCAGCCCTTTAGCCCACACAAGTAGAACTCTTACAACACCTAGTCAGTTCTCTGAAGAATTCAATCCATTTATTTGCTTTTGTGTAGATTAAACAGTCAGATCATTTCATACACTCAGAAAGTATTCATGCTGCTGGCAATGTGGGCTCTTTACATTGTGCTTACCAGGAGCTCTGAACCTAAACTAGCTATAATTTGGTCTTGTCAGAAAAACAAACAAACTATTATGAAATTGTGCAAAAGCCACTTGGTGATGGATTTAAGCTTTTGAATGCCCGAGACAAAAACACATAGTAAGGATAGCATAAGTAATGTTGGCAGATAAAGCAAAAAGACAGGTTATGTTAACCAGGAGAAAAATATTCCCTTGTAGCAGAGTTGGGGATATGATAACAGTGCTTGACTAACATATGGGAGATTATGGGTTTGACACCTAGCACTGAAAAGAAAACACTTTCATTTTTAAAATGACAATGTAATGTTGGAGGTGGGAGGAACATCCAGCAGCAGCGTCCCCTTAACAGGAACTGACATT